AGAAACAAATTATTGTATGAATTTTCGCTACGCTTATACAACGTTCGGAGCCAGAAAGATTTCTTTAATACAATTTGTTCAGCATTGCTATTTAACTTATTTATTGGTATGAAAATAGCAGTTTGTTGTCTTAGTGATTTAACTTAGTTTAAATATGGGATTATTTTAAGAAACGTATATTATCTGAATGGTTGTTATGAATCAGGGTGAAAGAACACGGATCATATGAGGTGGAAGTTGTGGCCTTTTAGATATTCGTTTCTTGTAAATGAAAAACATTCAGAAAAATCGTAAAATTTATTTGGTAACTTAACTTGTCGTTCTGCGTGCTGAACTTTCTGCTTAAACTGTTTACATTACCGATATTTAGTTACCCTCCCAAGGATTATCCGGTGATCGCCATGCGCGGGGCCCCGGCATCATTTCCAGTGACCGAAAGTGACAGCCATTTGCAGAAGTACTTGGAATTTTCTGAAAAACTCGTTAAGGAGCTCAAGGACATTCTGAAGAAGTATTTCAATGGGAAGAGAGATTACGTCGGCATCCATCTCAGAAACGGTGAGGACTGGGTACGTGATGGAATTTTGTGTTTAACTTCGAGGTATCATTTTCAGACCAATTTAAAGATCTTTGTAAACGAACTTGGTCACAGTCGCGCATATGCCATGGTCAATCTTTTGCACCGTATATCTCACCAAACATAAAATATGTAAAATAATTTCCTTAATTTTTTAGGGGTCAAATAAAATCATCGTTCGATAGACAGAGGTAACATAAAGCTGCTTGTCAGACCTGGCCCTCTGGAGCGCCACTTTCTTATTTTCAAGACAATGTGAAACTTAGTCGATAATAACGGAAGACAGCTGTTATCTTAATTTAAGCACAGGGCATGCGATGTTTTTACCGTAAACCAATTACCGAAAATAGGCATATATTTACTTCGTTTTAGCATTACAGCAGTCATTGTACAATACTTCCAGAGCTGGAGTAGTGGAGCCAAGTTACGAAATGTTGCCTCTCCTTTGGC